CTTGAGTTTTATAGTTTTCTTTGTTCCCTCCTATTTGTCGTAGGGGTAGTAGAATTTTCCAGATATCTGGGTGGACAGGTGATGAATCATTCCTATTACATGTATTTGCAGCTGATTCGATAAACAAAGCTTCTGTTATCAATCTCTCCCTATACCCTGTGACATTAAATTTTAAAACTGTCATCCTATTGTATGATTGTGTGTGACTGCATGTAGTGTTAGCTGAACTATTCTTTAGATTTCCTATCTTATTTAATCAACCAATCTATATTTGCTAAGTTTTTATGTTCAGCTGGTCTGACTACCCCTGTTCTACTACTTTGACCTATGTATTTGACCTGACAATCATTGCAGGGTATGAGATAAACTAAATTGTTTTGTTTTAAAGGCTCTATAGGATCCTTTAGCCGACAAAGCTTGTTTCTAATTGAGTTTGTGGGTTTGAATGCCATTTTATCCGCCTTGTTAAGAATTCTGCGTAAGTTCGAGTTTTTATACTTGATGATTTAGATTTTATTGTTTCGTATTAATATTTATATATACATTTATTATATTCTAATTATTGAGTTTCAAGGCTTCTTTTATGTGTATCAGTTCCTGTTTTAGATTTTCCTTGGTACTACTTAGTTTTTGTGCTCTGTCATTTAAACATTTCACCAATCCTATTTTTACTGACATAGGATGGGATGATCGGAAGTTCAAATATCTGTTTGAATGTGTGGGTTTCCTGTAAACACTAGTGTTTAACTTCCCATCTTTCCTTTTTACGTTGCAATCTAACATTGGGAGCTCCGCTCCCTGGTTTTCCAATTCATAAGTGTTCGAAACGTCATCCAGTTAATAATACTGTTTCACTGTGTGATGTAACTAATAAACAAACTAATATGGAATTACTTACACCACAGTGCCAAAGTGTTACACATACAATACGAATGAATTCAGTCTGGATAATACTACCATATAAGAAAGGAGCATCAGAAGCCATACACAGAATTTTTAATAAATCTGAAATCAGGATGATGATTAAACCAACCAATTCACTCAGAGATTAACTTTGTCCGCTTGAGGACTTATCAGATCCAATTACGCAGAATGATATAACTTACCACGAAACATGTATTGACTGTGAGGTCGATTACATAAGCCATACCAGTAGAATAGGATAAGTTAGGTTATCTGGATCTAAAATAGTTGACCCAGATAAGCTGAATAATCTGGAAAAGTACTCCGACACTGGAATGCATTCACCTGCATGTAATCACATAAAAGGATGAGATAGAGTAAAGTACTAATAAGCATTATAGTTAGTTCCAGGGGTGGATTAATTATAGAATCTTTGTCAGTCGAATCAAAACGACATACATGTAATGAGCATGACGCAATACTTACCTAAGATATATTGAACATTAAAAAACAATGGGGAATTAAGAACCATATCGAGTAAGTTAAGAAGACGTGTGAATATATTAATATTACTATGAGCAGTCAATTGTAGTCAAAACATCATCCATTTGTTTATACTGTATCGCTGTGTATTGTATTGAATAAACTTACCTAAATGGAACATTTTATTCAATATCTATTGTGTTTACGGAATGTATAAACAGATCATTTTAGCAATGACTAGAATTCCATCCTCTAAGGATGATTTGTTTTACGTCAGCGCAAATAAGTGAGTGTATAGACGACAGCGAAATGAATGCACGCAAATAACAATTTCTAAAACTAATTACTAAACAGCAAAATAAACCATTTAAAAAAAACATGAGTATTTTTTTCCACAAGAAACTTTCATGCTGACTGGAAAATTATAAATTGAAGATTTTATGAAGTCACCCCGTAGCTAAAGTTAAACTGTAATGATTTGTGTATTACAGTGAAGTAACTTTAGAGTTTTATTACAAGTATTCAGAAACACAAATGAACGGGAAAACATTCTCTTTTTTTCTTACTTCCTCGTCAAAATTTTCTGGTGACAACACGAGCAGATCGGACAATACGTAAAAGCATACAACGGAAGTCTACATCAACTAGACAGCTTTCACATTTCCTGAGCTTCAGAAATTTATGATTTACCACCCCACCCCACCAATATTTCTGTCAATCAACATTATAATTATGATATTTATTTAAGCATCACTACTTTGAAAGAAGACATATAGGTGAACAATATTGTTCTCATCCAGAGTCAATGAAAAATAAGTGTTAGACATTGTAAATCTGCCAGTAATCACAGTAATATAAGTAATAATGTCCATAGAAACATTTATACAAATAACACGCTGGTAGGCAAAAACAATTCTTGTGAAATTAGAAGTAACATAAGCGAAAACATGACAGATTATCAAACTTCAAATAAATATGATTAATATATGATTGGAAGAAAGAATCCAAAAGGAGTAAGATTTAATTCAGTTAGCAAGTTTCCTTACGCCAATGCATGAGAAGACTTGAATTATTCTTCCGAATTTCCATAGCTTCTGCTGTGTACAGAAGATGAGTCTGAATTCCCTGTGGAAAGTCCGATGGAATGTGACAGAAGGCCATAAAGCTGCTTCTTCTGTTCACTTCGCGACTACAATTAGTCAAATGAGAAAAAATCGAGCTTCTTATGAATTTTGTTTGACTTTCGCCCAATGACAACTAAGGTGTCCTAAAATGTACCTGCTAAATTGTTTAGTTGTTTGTCCTGTGTTGCTTTCTTCACAGAATCAGTAAAATTTATAAATGCATAGAGGTCTAGCACAACTGAGCAGTGGTATTTTTCCGGGCTTGAAAATAATGGACAGAGGATGGCAGATATATATCCTTTGTTTGGTTGCAGATAGTGTTTACTGTAGATATTTACTGACAACTTCGTAATAGAGTTGGGGATTTATGAACAATTATTTCGGTGTGATTGACTTCACTTTATCCTATTTATTGTTTATGGTTTTCCTACTAAGATATCCTATTTGGGTCAAGGTATTATGAGTGTAATATAATTCATTTTCCAATAAAACAAAGGTGAAGATCTGTCTCCCTGATATTGTGAAGTGTCTTGTCAGATTCTATATCCATTCCTTCTGAGATAACCATCTGGTCTTCTAATTCATACAACATTTAGAAAATGTGGTTTCACTTGATGTTCTCTATCGTAGTGGAATATAAGTATTGGATGTAAACTGCTGAACTTCTACAGCAGATTGTGGTTGTTAGTTCTCCGATCAAGAATTATGAAGGTATCACTAATATGAACATGATATGCATCCGGTTTTTTGTATACCTTTCAACAGACCATGTCAGATATCCAGATCGCAGAGATCCTGGACCTATCGCCGGTTTCAGAAGACTAAGCTTAACGTGCAGAGCACTATGTCAGAACGGATCCAAAAATCTTGAGCTGCTTTCGCTAATTTACACCATCTCTGGCGTAGGTGTGACATCCGGCTATCAACCAAGGAACGTGTGTGTTCTGCTCAGCAGTTCGCTCCGCCCTCCTCTATGGCTCTGAAACGTGGCCAATACGAGTCGAAGACATGAAAAGGTTGTCTGTTTTTGATCATAGATGTCTACGATCTCTTTCTCACGTTAGGTGGTATAATAAGGTAAGTAATGTTGACATTAGGCGTAGAGTGTTGGGCAAAGAGGGAAAATCAATCGAAGAGGCTGTAAAGTTACATAGATTGAGATGGCTAGGTCACGTGCTGCGCATGCCTAACCATCGCCTCCCCCGACGGGCATTACTAGCTGATATAGGTGCAGGTTGGAAAAGAGTAAGTGGTGGCCAAACGAAAACATGGCATCAATCCATGAAATCCTTGACAGTTAAACTGAGTCAGGTAGGGAGATGCAGACTTCCAGGTTGCGGCCCTCGGGACACTAAGAATCAATTGCTGGAGACAATAGGTGACATGGCTCAAAGTCGTTGTCAGTGGTGCAGATGTAATATTTCATATTCCTTTCTACCATTACTCATTCTGTTTCAGTCTTATACTTGTCAAAACTCTATTGATTCTCTTCACTCATTTTCTTGTCTACCTTTGTGTGCTCTTTGGAACGTGGCAACTCGAACTGCTGTACTTCGATGCCAAGTTCTATGTTGAATCCAGTCAGTCAGTCAGCAGAGCACTATGCACTGTAAGCGACTCAGAACAATCGAAAACGGTTGGGCGATACGATTGTTTATTCTTCAAGAGATAACGAAACAGATTTACAATGGTGAGTCACTGCCAAAGTCTATAAATAAGCGTTAATATAATGTACAACAATGCTTCTGATCGACTTTCTCCAATCTTCTTCCAATCAGTACACGATTAAGCAATGACAGCCTTCCTGTCTACCGCCAAATGGAGACCATTTCGAATAAACAAACTATTCAGTGTTCACCAGCCTTGACAGACCATTTTGTAATTTAGGCTTATTCACTTAACTTTTTCTTGTCAATTATAAGCAAATTACTTTACTCAATCCCCTTAAACGTCTTTATCTTGGAAACTATCGATTATATAGTAACCAGTGGCTAACTTCAACAAACTAACTCTATTTTAGGCGATCTTGTCCTTTAACTATTATCTTGAATTGCGTGATTATTTCCACCTTTTCTACACACCAAAATTGTTATTTTCTTTTTAACCCACAAATCACCATTTGATCCGTAAAATTTTGATGTATTATTTTCTAAATCTGAATACTGTCTTAGAACTGTTGTTGGAATGCCAATTTTCTCTAACTTGGTTTTTGAAGTTTATTTAATGCATCTGTACAAGAATAAGTTTCCCATATGCATGAGAATGATGACAACGCAATATGATAACAGAAGAATATTATCGATCGTATTAATGTTTGTTTGTTTATTTCTTTTTTTTGTATAAAAATTAATATTAACTTAATCAGAAGTTAAATAAAACAATCTATCACTCAAAAATCTGATTGGCTGATGTATAAAGTGCCAATCAGAAAATCAGCTAACCAGTAAATGAATGAATGTTGACCAGCGAAATAATCTTCGTTTCTTTTGTGAAAATAAAAATAGTACATTGTTTCCAAGCTGAAAAGGAATATTCATTGAAAACTCAATGACGATATAATGCTACCTATAAAAAGGATTTATACAAAACCCAATGGATTCTATGAATATGTGGGGATTATTTTCTCATTTCACATAGTTTTATTCTATGGATAATGAATTACTCTGTAACGGGGGTTAATTTACTACTCTACGTGACTTTACTTCATATAATTTGGTCTACATATCAAAAAGATACAATGGCGGATTTTTTATTTAGAATTCCTAATAGTCATGTAATATTATCAGAATTTCAACCATGTCCTTCAAGTAAATTATATCTTACTTTTCTTTCTGCAGGCTCCACTGGTTTACTAATGTATGCAGAAAATAATAAAACTGGACAGTTTTTTGCACTCACCTTACTACCTGGTAACAGAATAAAGTTAGAAATGGAACTACGTCCACCACAGTATCGAGTTACAAGAGCACATACAACAATGACTTTAGATTATTCACAAAAGCATAACATTAATCCTAGTATTAATTGGTTAAGTTCACGTGTTTCATCGAATTTAGACAAAATTCATTCAACACAGTGGAATTATGTAGAAATTAGTTTTCATTCGAAAACAGAATACTCAGCTGATGTAGTAAGAATGAAAGTAAATGAATTCCATACTCAAATTCAACTTTCACCATCAGACAGTTTGTCACTTGTTAGATCATATTCAAAACCAAAGTCTTCTTTATTCGGTCCTTATGTTTACATAGGACAAATACCAGATGCAATGCGTTCAGATGCAACTGAGCGTGCATTATTCAGTGTTGCTATGCAGTCTAGTTTTCAAGGAATTATTAAAGATATCCGAACTGTTCAATGCGTAGATTCCAAAAATTCAAAAAGGATAAATCTATTACCTTTGGCTACAGAATGCATGGAATTTGAAACTATAAGTTTAGAAAATGGTGCAGTAAATGTAGATTCTGATTCTTTTTCATCAACGCCCAGTTTCTGTTTTTTACGAAATAATCAGGCGAAACTTCATCCTGAAATGTTAGATGGTCTAGTACATTTCGATTTTGACGAAAAAAGTAAAAACACAATGTTTTGTGGAAGTAAGTCCCCCATTTTTAAAAATTTCAGATGTGAGTGAAATTTCCACGGAAACAGTTTTTGTTATCATATATTTATGGTACCTTTTTTATCAGATAGTGTCGAGTTCTCTTAAAGATTAATGTACGAACTTTTAGAAAAAGCCCCTGTTAACAATATTAATTAGGTACTGTATTACAAATATATCATTTTTTAGTGTTAGAATATGCTAAAAATCATTTGTTTTTAAGAAATAAACTTCGTCGCATTTTCAAGACTCACCATCTTCTTTTACAAACTCTTCCTTAATTCTTTAGCTCAAGTAGATTACAGTAAGTTATTCTCAAACTGTTCTAATTAGTTGAAATTAGTCCTCATTTTGATATTGCCTCTGAAAGCTGTAAAGATTTGTTGGTGAAAGATTTATAATGACCGCTTTCTTCAAAAATGAATGTTATAATAGTAGGAGCTATTTATACTCAAGTAATTTATTGAAAAAAGTCACCACTATTGTCCTTAGTTTTGCATACTTCGTTTGGTTTTCTACAATTCAGTGTAACGCCTTTAATTAGAATACATATTTATTTCCACAGCAGTATCCTATATTATTATCATAGTAAACCATACCCTTCGGTAGCTGTCGTGCGTAATCAGGATTCGTCATATTGATCAATTTGAAATTCAGTAACTCACAATAATATTTTAAAACATTCAGACGCCTCTATCTATACAACCAGTGAAAAGTTTAGTGAAACTCCTCAATGCATCTATATCCACACGGGGATTTATATTACAGTTTCTACTGTGATTCCTTGAAATTACACTATTATTAGTGTAAATAAATGAAAGTGGAGGATAGAGAAAAGCCTTAGGCACTTTGTTTCAACTAATTTAAACTTTCAAATTTAACTCGTTGATCGTCTTAATCTCTTAAGTTTGTGGAAAAAATTGACTGATTTTGGAAGCCATTTTGTCTAAAAAAGTTGTTGCTTTGCTATTAGCGGCTTTTCGTTGGTATCAGTTTTCAATTTTATGAAGAATTATATACAGAAGACTAATGGATGATGGCAGTCTGTTTGAATTCGAACTACCAAAATGCCATCATCCATCAGCCACACATTGATTCAATTCACCCCCTTTCTTTTACTTCAACGACAACACCGATATTGAGACTGTGCTCTATAGTAAATTTGGAAATATAATTGATAATCAGAATTTCTTATTATGTAAAATTGCTTCGAGTACAAAGAAATTATTTAATCAAATTACTGGGAGAAAATATATAGCTACGGATGCATGTTATGACGTATACACCATAAACCGATCCCTTTTGAGATAAAAAAACATATTAGACTGAGAAGAATAAGAAGTTCAGCAAAGATATCTTTTCGGCGATTTCATTTTCAAAAGCTGTACAATCGCATTTAAATACATAATTTTACATGGAGACAATTCTTGTTTGATTCTACATAATTATGACGGCGAATAAAAGGTGATAATTATTTCCAACTAGATATGGTTATACGAGAGGCTTAGAAACAAAAATTACGCAGGATTAGAACGGAAAGCAAGTGTGTAAAAATGAGCATGGATACAAAATTGAAATAATAATTTTCAACTTGAGATGGGAATCAGGAGGTGCGAATATAGATTACAAGAGCCTTAGAAACAAAATTACATGGAATTTAGCAAATTACAGGTGTGCAGAAAGTGAGCATGGAAACAAAATTGATATAATAGTTTTAACTTAAAATGGAAGTTAGGAGGTGTGAATATAGATTACAAGAGCCTTAGAAATGAAATGAAATCGCCGAAAAAATATCTTTGCTGAACTTCTTATTCTTCTCAGTCTAATGTTCCAATGGGTATTTTCTACGATTTGAAAAAAACATATGGCTCTACCCGAAGCCTTTATCCAAATTAATGGATACTTTCGAGGTTTTGAACCTTGCCAAGTTTACTAGTTCGCTAGATTTCTAGCCGGTTTCAAACCCGACAGAAGAGGAAGGGTTGGGGGTGTGGCTAGCGACCCTGCCTCACAAAACCAATCAAACTGCTAGAGAAACTTCAACACATAAGGAAAATATTGAAAATACATCAACATAAAAAACAAAATTATTTTTCGCTGAAATCAGAGAGGTGAAATGACGCGGGCTGGTGAAATCCTTCAAGAAGCCTGTCAACCGACGTGTTTCCTCTCAATGAAAGCAGGAATAAGAGTGGGGAAGTGGAATGTCCTTACAATATATGAGACTCGAAAGGCTGCCTAAATAGCCAAAGAAATGCGAAGATATGGTCTAGAAGCGCTGGGTATCTGCAAGAGCAGATGGAATGGAAGTGGATCGTCAAAAGTGTCAACTGGAGAGTCAGTAATTTACTCCGGTCTGGTCACCCAGACGACAACCATGAGCACACTGAGGCAGTGAGTGTCTATCATGATGTCACCAATAACAGCCATAGCTGTTATGCACAGGGAACCAACCTCCGGGATTACGACAGAAAGATTCAACTCAAAAGGAAGGGAGGTTACAATTATCATGCAGTGCTACGCCCCACAAACAACTCGAAATAAGAGAAGGAAAATTTCTCTAGACAACTACAAACAGTAATGGACAACATCCTGAATGGTGACATAAAAATCCTTATGGACAATTTGAATACCAGCCAAACTGGGAGCAGACAGTACAGGAAGAGAACTCATCATGGATTGAGAGGCTCTTGGCCAAATGAATGACAATGGAGAACACTTTGCAGACTTCTGCGCCTTCAATGATTTGGTGATTGTAGGCAGCGTGTACAAGCACAAAAATATACAGAAGGCGACATGAATTTCGCAGACACACACTGAAAACCAGATAGATTTCATTTCACTCTCAAGAAAGTGGAGGTGTAGCCTGCTGAACACAAAGTTGGGAAGGAGGCAGACCACTAGTTAAGGCAGAAAAACTCCAAGGTCAAGTTGAAAGCCATTGGTAGCATTGATGGCGAAGTAATTTGGAAATTACTTCAAAACTATGGCTTTTAGTGCTCAAATCTTTATCAACCTCATTCAACAGCCATGTGACAATAGCACGTGTCAGGAGATTCAGAACGGAAAACTTAGTGAAGCTTTTGAGGTGAACACAAGTGTGAGACAAGGCTGTCTATTATTACAGACGATATTCTTAATTGTGATGTACTGAATTATACATCTGCCTGTGCTTGACAGCGAGAAGACAAGAACACGCCGGACCGATAAGAAGGTTCTATAAAGTCTGGATTTCACAGACGATTTACGTTTAGTGTCACACAAACTCGAAGACTTACAGGTGTAAACCAACACACTGGCTGAAAAGGCAGGCAGCGAAGACAGGATTCCAGGTGAACATAGAGAAGACGGATGTGACGAAGATAACCAACCGAAAGTGACGACAATTAGCACCAATCACCATCAACGAGAGAGATTTGACAGAGGTTACTTCCTTCACTTATCTAGAAAGTAGTATTTCAACTATAAGTAGAATGGATCAGAATGACAGAGGTAGAATCAGAAAGGCAAGGTAGACCATCATCACTCTAAAGTCAGTTAATAAATCTCCTGCGTTCAGCAAAAGGAACAAGATCCGGATTCTCAACATCAATGTGAAGTCAGTCAGTCCTTCTACACGGGTCAGGAACTTGGCGCCCGTGTCACGAAAAGCATTTCTAACAGGCCACTGCAGACTTTTATCAACAGCTGCCTTCTCTGGCTTCATATTGAAGATCAAATGGCCAGAAAGAATTTGCAACAAGAAACTATGGGAAAGAACTAATCAGGAATCTGTTGCTCAACAAATATGTAGCAGAGAATGGAGATGGACTGGGCATACACTGAGGAGACCGTCGAATGACAGTGTGCGCCAGGCCATCGCTCGAGTGGAACCTGAATGGGAAACGACGAGTTTGGCATGGGTCCGAGGGTGACATGCAGGAGATCGTGTGAGGAGGAGATAAGAGACTACGAGGACTCGTGGGCCCAGCTACAGAGGAGAGCAGAAAAAAAGTGGAGATATGTTGTTGAGGCCCTATGTTCCACTCGGAACCCAAAGGAACAACAAATAAATAAAATAAACTTGAGGTTTTGATGAAAACGATGTCTTGGCATGTCTCATATCCTTGAATCCATTACAGGACTCAGGTGCTGGAGGTTCACCAACTGTTTTGCTCAATAAACGTGAAGATATTTTATGTCATCCCTCTACATAAATCGTAAGTGCATTATTTAACAGGGAAACGGCACTATAATATTGTTTTCCACAAAAGAAGAGGTGCAAAGTTAGTTTACCTCCTTAGACTACACTCAAGCTCTAGATTCTAATTCTTAGGGCGATCTCTCAAAGCATACTGACTTCAACACTTTCTGTGCTCTTGGTCAAAACTTGGTTGTTTTCTTATTTTTCGGTGGAAAACACATCAGTCTTCCGCCAAAAGTGCTTCACGTAACGATCAAAACCCAGCCGTTTTGCTCTGAAGGCAGGAAATCAATCAGGGAAATCTAGTTAGTATTATCCACAGGACCTAATATGTTCTGTTCAGTTTGCTGAATTTCAATGAGTCACTCTCAGTCAGAATTGTATTCCAACAACATTAAAATTCCATTCAGTGTGACGGAATCTATGTCACCAATAACTGATAATTTGTTTTATCAGATGTATAAGATGCTTCAACAATGCGGTCAGCCAACCACATAGTGTAAATATTTCTCAGGTGTAAAACTAATTAATCAAATGCAACCGTAAGATACTTGAGAACCAACAAGAATTTTCCTAACAAGTTTGGATCAAAACTCTGTCTTTAGGAATCGAATTGAGAAAACCACGTTTTCCGCAGAACCAAGGGCAAGTAGCCACTATATGGATTTTTATTTATTTATTTTATTTTGATTACAGCTTGATTCCACACCGTATTTTCAGTACAAGTATGGAATTTTCAGCATGGATATCGGTAGCCCAAATTTACAGGCCAACCATTGATATCGGGTGTGCGCCGGCAGTGGATCGAACCT